CCAAAAACACCTCCAATTCTTGCAAGTAATTTCTCAGAATTTAAAGATCTAAGAAAATAAAAATTATTAACTATATAAATATAAGGGAGGTGGTTGAAGGATCCCGGGAACTCTTCGGTATACGTATTTATTTCTCATCCGGATATACGGCTTTGTCAACCATATTAGGATTACTAAAATTTATATAAAATACCAGACCTGCTCACGGATACGGATAATATCCGGATACCCGCGGATATCCGCGGATACGGATGGATATGGATAGTGTTTTTAAAAAAATTGGACGGATACGGATGGATACGGATATGATGCTTCAAATCCGCGGATATCCATCTCAAAATTCTAGCCTGCGGTGCAAAGAAAGTGAATTTTTTTCGCTTTCGGCCTTTCAAAATTTTTAAAATTTTCGCCTGCGACGCTAAAAAAGAAAGAAATCTGGCTTTTAAATCATTGAAATTCTCAAATTTGCGCCTGCGGCGCTAGAATGAAAAACTCTGGTTTCTTAGCCTTCCAGCTTAAAAATTACCATCTACGACGCTCCGATGTGCCTACCCACTTAAGGTACAAGTACAAGTTCAGTCCAAATTCAGTGGTGAGTACAAGCAAAATTTAGTTGAGCAACCGAAAGTTTTCAGAGGGTTATGAAGGAATTCCCCCACCCACTCCCGAATTGGGAAAAAGGAAAAAATTTGGTGAGGGGATTGGGCAAAAAAGTGAATTTTTTGGCCTACGCCCTTCTAAAATTTTCAAAATTTTCGCCTGCGGCGATAAAATCAACTGGTCAGTTAACCATAATTTTCATTTCGGCCCGAAACCGGGAATTTACTTTTCAAAAATTCTCAAAAATTTTCAAAATTTTATTTTTTTTCGGTATAATCCCTGATAGGCAGCGTAGGGTCGGAATTGCTATCTCTGCCTTCCGATTTTCGAACCTCCGATGTTCATAAGCAAGGTTAGTTCTGCTGCATCCAGTTATTACCTCATTATCTAACCATTACTCGAATTTAAATAACTTTGACCATTTTGAAAATTCTAGCGAGGCTGACCATTTTGAGAAAAAACGGATATATCCGCGGATATCCGCGGATGGATATGCCTAAAAAGTTGGACGGATACAAACGGATACGGATATGGACCTCACGGATATATCCGGATACGGATAGCAAAATCCCTATCCATGAGCAGGTCTGTAAAATACTACTAATTAAGCATGTTAAAATTTTGAACAAAATATTCAAAGTATTTTAAAATATTTAAGAATAATTTAATATTTACTTGATATATTCTTGAAATGATGGACGCTTTCGTAAGAAATAATAAATGAAAACTATAAATGTAGCTTCTTCAATTAATTCTTTATTATCTAAAGCGACTTGAACTGATTTTGAGTATGTTGACATTGAACATTCTATTGGGGTTTCTCTTTCCATATTTTTGTGAATATAATGATTAAAGCTCTGGCGTAAAAAAAGAGTATAGCAATAGCAGTAATTAGAAGCCATGTAATAGCCAGTCAGGTAGAATATACCCCTTTAATAAATTTAATAATATTTAATATGAACCTAAATTCCTTTTTAATTACTGTTTTACTCTCTCGCTAGGGGAATTGAAAAATGGCAAAATTAGAGTTTTAAAATTTGAAGACCGAATAAGGCACTTGTTGGAGCAAAAACATTTAGGAGTTTTTGAGGCATTTAGGGAGATTAAGTTCCAATTTCCACTAGCGTGGCCATTAAGTGAAAGGACACATTTAATTGGTAATTATTCAGCATAAAATTACTCACGTCATTATATTACTATTTTTATGTTCTGGATATCTTTTTAAAAGTATTTCCATCATATAAAAATTGCTTAAAATACAGTCGTGGAAAAAAGTATGGAAGCGCTAGAAAATTTCTTTTTATTTTTTAATTTTTTATTCAAAAAATACGTTCTATATACCAATCGAAAGCTGTATTCGTATCTCAGTTGACATGTTTCTGCATTTTTCATGAAAATGAAAATTGGCTGAGATAATCCGGATCTACCGGATATACCAAATCCCATTTTTTCGGAAAAATTTTTCGGAACAAATTTAACAAACCCAAATGATAAAGCATATTTTTGTGAGCATTTACCACAAAACCGCTTAGAAATATCTTTTTCCTGAGCAGAGATATGATTTTTTGAAAATGGCATTTTTCGCTTAAAAATTGAATTTTTTGCAAAAATAGACGAAAAATGCAATTTTTAAAAAATCATATCTCTCGTCCGGAAAAAGATATTATTAAGCGGTTTTGAGGAAAATACTCAGAAAAATATGCTTTATCATTTGGGTTTGTTAAATTTGTTCCAAAAAATTTTTCCGAAAAAGTGGGATTTGGTATATCCGGTAGATCCGGATTATCTCGGCCAATTTTCATTTTCATAAAAAATGCAGAAACATGTCAACTGAGATACGAATAGAGCTTTCGATTGGTATATAGAACGTATTTTTTGAATGAAAAATTAAGAATTAAGAAAAAATTTTCTAGCGCTTCCATACTTTTTTCCACGACTGTAAGTTTAGCAAAAGTTTAGCCACCGGAAAGGATTCAAAGCCACACTGGTAGTGCTCGATTAGCCTTGATTTTACACCTATGCAGGAGCATTACTACTGAATTACTACTAATGTTTTATTTTCTCCTCACGTTCGTTTAACCCTCACCTAACAAAGAAGCGTTTTAGATGCTGCTAAGTGAATCATCGTTACATAATTATTATTTAATAATTTTTTTTAGAAATTATCAGAAAATGCCAACGCTTTCGAGGCTATTGACAAATTAATTTTTGGAGGAAAGGAAATAAAATCAGAAAATCAAAATGAATTAGAAAACATTACAAATCAAAAAGAGAAAATTTTAATTGGATATAATAAAATATATAAAACAGCTTCAATTATTATTAATTATATTTTTAATGAAAAAATTAATTTTGAAAGTCTTGTAAATGAAGGAAGACTTATAATTCAAATAAGGGTGATGATTTTAAGTATTTTAATATTATTTAGAAAATAAAAATATTTTTGTGGGGATTGGAATTGATTAAACAAAATTAGAAATTAATGTCTTTGATATTCCTTATTGAGATATTTTTAATAAATTTAAATATTTTATCAATTATTTTTAGCAAAGAGATGGCAACAGCTTCCCATCGAGATCTGCTGCGATTGAAAAATCTGCAAAAGAATCCCTCGACCTTTTAAAGGAATTATTGTCTTTTAAATCAGAAAATGAACAAATTTCTGTTGAGAATTCGTTCAAAATTGTCGAGAAAAAATTTTTAAAAGTAAAAGGGGGATTAATGCGTTTTGGATTTAAAAATGGAATTGGAAAAGATGATGCCCGTATTTTAATGAAATGGAAAGAAAATGAACAAGCACAAATTGTTTTTAAACAATTAACTAATCTTAATTTAATTTTTGATAATCAAAATGTGAGGAAATTCGATATAAATTTAAATTTATTTTATAATTAATTTTAATGAGAGAAAGCCGTTAATTATTCTATAATAATTAACGGCTCCCGGAAAATGTTTCAGAGGAAAATGAGTCAGTAGGAAGGTTGAAAAATCTATTTATAATTGTAAGCTAAGGTAATTGTAAGGTTAACTGCCCATAATAAAAATAGAATTAATTATATTCTCTATAATTACACAAATCTAATTTTCATTTTTTTAAATTTCAAAGGGATCTGAAAAAATTATTGAATTGCACGAGAAGGTGAAGAAATTGATAATTAAAATGACCCATTTGCTGCATTTTTACTATAAATTTGTTGAAGGAATTAATAAAAATAGTGCCTCTAGTGCTACTGGGGAGAATTTGAATACTAAAGAAAAGAAAAGTAAAGAGAAAAAATGTAATTTTTTAAAAGATTTTATTTAAAACAATACGTAAATTTTTAATTATATATCTTTCTGGGTCACTAAAAAATGTAAAAATTAGAGTCGGGGTTAACAATAATTAATAGATTGGAGTAAATATCATCCCATATCAGGAATCCCCGAAATTCCAGAAATCGGGAATTTAATTTTTATTTCGGCTAGATGAATGTCTTGAATACTAGTGTAGAAGGATAACCTTCCTAAGTAATACCTTTAATTTTAGATAATTTTAAATACAGTCGTCGACATAAAGATAGGGACAAGAGTAATTTAAATGCAAATTAACTATTTTTTAGTCAAAAAATACGTTCTATATATCAATCGAAAGCTCTATTCGTATCTCAGTTGACATGTTTCTGCATTTTTCATGAAAATGAAAATTGACCGAGATAATCCGGATCTACCGGATATACCAAATCCTATATCCTCGGAAAAATTTTTCGGAAAAAATTTAACGAACCCATTTGATAAAGCATATTTTTGTGAGTACTTACCACAAAACCGCTTAGAAATATCTTTTTCCGGACCAGAGATATGATTTTTTGAAAATCGCATTTTTAGCCTATTTTTGCAAAAAATTCAATTTTTAAGGGAAAAATGCGATTTTCAAAAAATCATATCTCTGGACCGGACAAAGATTTCTAAATTAAATTTAATTTCTAAATTAAAAATTTTTCTTTTAATTAGTTAAAGATGAAGTGAGAAAGATAATTGTTGGGCGTTTATACAAATCTATATCAATTTGATTTTATTTAATTTCAACTTATTTGTAAAATATTCTGTAATAAATATTTGTATATTTTAATTTTTAAAAAATGTTTTGATTTTAAAATGTTTTTTAGAAAAATAATATTTTTAAATTATTTTATAAACAGAAATATTTTTATTTGATTTAATTTTTAAAAATATTTACTAATTTCTAGACAATATTATTGATGTATAAATTTATAGTAAAAGTACTTTTCTATAAAAATATTTTCGAAAATAATTTAAAAAATATTTTGTTTAAACATCTGTTAATTAATTGGCTTTATAAAGAATTAAATTTTAGTTAATAATTAACACAAACTTAAATCCCTCTTAAATTAATTTAAAAAATGAATTGTAAATTTTTCTTAATTTTATTTTCAATTCTTTTAATAATTGCTGGAAGTTTGGCAAAGGTTTTCTTTTAATTTAAAATTAAAAATCCTTTTAATTAATTTAAAGAATAACGACCACCATAAACATCCAAAACACCCTCCACACACTTCAAAACGTCCACATCCAACACGTAAACATCGTCCAACATTTAAACCTTTTCCATCACCTAAACCAAAGGCTCAAAATGTTGAATGTGGGGATGATGATGAATAAATGAGTTTAAAAAATAAATTAAAATTAAATAATTTTTCAAATAGACTGGTTTGTTAAATAAAAAAATATTAAATATAATTATTTTGCAATAACGTTGTTTCGAAAGTTCGTCCATTTTTTAAACTAAATTAAATCTGATAAGTTCGTGAGTTTGTAGGGAATAAAATTTGGGGTTATGTCTGTAACAGAAAAAAACCGTTATTACGTAAAGATATAACTAAACCGACTGGAATTTACTAATAACCTTTACAATTATAAGGTAATTCTTGCGTTCGTAGACCCCCTCCTTTTCCTTCCTCAAGTAAAAAGACCCAAAGATAAGAACGAGGTTAATTTTGGTGTCATTCGACACAGCTCGACGAGTTCTATAACATAATACTGACTGACCTTATTTTAATAACTTGACGAAGATAAAGAAGGGGGGGGGGGTACGAACGCAAGAATTACCCATTGTAATAACGTTATAAGGGTAATCCCGTAACAACATGATTGATTACTCAATTTAACTAAAATCTGTCATCACTTCGTTAAAATAATGACGAGATTGTCAGTGTTTATAAGAATCAACCAATTGTATGTGTATCCAAAAAAAGTATATTTAAAAAACAACAGAAACGAAATTTTTGTTTAAATAATGGAGGCTAAAACCTAATAACATTTATTTTCTTAACAAACTTATTTTAAATTATATGAAATTATAGAAAGAAGAATATAAAAATAAACTTGGAGGCTAAAACCTAATAACATTTATTTTCTAAACAAACTTATTTTAAATTATATGAAATTATATAAAGAAGAATATAAAAATAAACTTGGAGGCTAAAACCTAATAACATTTATTTTCTTAACAAACTTATTTTCAATTATATAAAATTATATAAAGAAGAATATAAAAATAAACTTGGAGGCTAAAACCTAATAACATTTATTTTCTTAACAAACTTATTTTCAATTATATAAATGTTATTAGGTTTTAGCCTCCAAGTTTTAGCCTCCTCCAATAAATGTTATTAGGTTTTAGCCTCCAAGTTTATTTTTATATTCTTCTTTATATAATTTATATTAGGTTTTAGCCTCCAAGGTTTTAGCCTCCTACAATAAATGTTATTAGGTTTTAGCCTCCAAGTTTATTTTTATATTCTTCTTTATATAATTTCATATAATTATATAAAGAAGAATAATAATATAATTATATAAATAATTAATAAATTATTTATATAATTCTTAACAAACTTATTTTCAATTATAGAAAATTATATAAAGAAGAATATAAAAATAAACTTGGAGGCTAAAACCTAATAACATTTATTTTCTTAACAAACTTATTTTCAATTATAGAAAATTATATAAAGAAGAATATAAAAATAAACTTGGAGGCTAAAACCTAATAACATTTATTTTCTTAACAAACTTATTTTCAATTATAGAAAATTATATAAAGAAGAATATAAAAATAAACTTGGAGGCTAAAACCTAATAACATTTATTTTCTTAACAAACTTATTTTCAATTATAGAAAATTATATAAAGAAGAATATAAAAATAAACTTGGAGGCTAAAACCTAATAAGTTTTATTTTCTTAACAAACTTATTTTCAATTATAGAAAATTATATAAAGAAGAATATAAAAATAAACTTGGAGGCTAAAACCTAATAACATTTATTTTCTTAACAAACTTATTTTCAATTATAGAAAATTATATAAAGAAGAATATAAAAATAAACTTGGAGGCCAAAACCTAATAACTTTTATTTTCTTAACAAACTTATTTTCAATTATAGAAAATTATATAAAGAAGAATATAAAAATAAACTTGGAGGCCAAAACCTAATAACATTTATTTTCTTAACAAACTTATTTTCAATTATAGAAAATTATATAAAGAAGAATATAAAAATAAACTTGGAGGCCAAAACCTAATAACTTTTATTTTCTCAACAAACTTATTTTCAATTATAGAAAATTATATAAAGAAGAATATAAAAATAAACTTGGAGGCCAAAACCTAATAACTTTTATTTTCTCAACAAACTTATTTTCAATTATAGAAAATTATATAAAGAAGAATATAAAAATAAACTTGGAGGCCAAAACCTAATAACTTTTATTTTCTCAACAAACTTATTTTCAATTATAGAAAATTATATAAAGAAGAATATAAAAATAAACTTGGAGGCCAAAACCTAATAACATTTATTTTCTTAACAAACTTATTTTCAATTATAGAAAATTATATAAAGAAGAATATAAAAATAAACTTGGAGGCCAAAACCTAATAACATTTATTTTCTTAACAAACTTATTTTCAATTATAGAAAATTATATAAAGAAGAATATAAAAATAAACTTGGAGGCCAAAACCTAATAACATTTATTTTCTTAACAAACTTATTTTCAATTATAGAAAATTATATAAAGAAGAATATAAAAATAAACTTGGAGGCCAAAACCTAATAACTTTTATTTTCTCAACAAACTTATTTTCAATTATAGAAAATTATATAAAGAAGAATATAAAAATAAACTTGGAGGCCAAAACCTAATAACTTTTATTTTCTCAACAAACTTATTTTCAATTATAGAAAATTATATAAAGAAGAATATAAAAATAAACTTGGAGGCCAAAACCTAATAACTTTTATTTTCTCAACAAACTTATTTTCAATTATAGAAAATTATATAAAGAAGAATATAAAAATAAACTTGGAGGCCAAAACCTAATAACATTTATTTTCTTAACAAACTTATTTTCAATTATAGAAAATTATATAAAGAAGAATATAAAAATAAACTTGGAGGCCAAAACCTAATAACATTTATTTTCTTAACAAACTTATTTTCAATTATAGAAAATTATATAAAGAAGAATATAAAAATAAACTTGGAGGCCAAAACCTAATAACATTTATTTTCTTAACAAACTTATTTTCAATTATAGAAAATTATATAAAGAAGAATATAAAAATAAACTTGGAGGCCAAAACCTAATAACTTTTATTTTCTCAACAAACTTATTTTCAATTATAGAAAATTATATAAAGAAGAATATAAAAATAAACTTGGAGGCCAAAACCTAATAACTTTTATTTTCTCAACAAACTTATTTTCAATTATAGAAAATTATATAAAGAAGAATATAAAAATAAACTTGGAGGCTAAAACCTAATAACATTTATTTTCTTAACAAACTTATTTTCAATTATAGAAAATTATATAAAGAAGAATATAAAAATAAACTTGGAGGCTAAAACCTAATAACATTTATTTTCTTAACAAACTTATTTTCAATTATAGAAAATTATATAAAGAAGAATATAAAAATAAACTTGGAGGCTAAAACCTAATAACATTTATTTTCTTAACAAACTTATTTTCAATTATAGAAAATTATATAAAGAAGAATATAAAAATAAACTTGGAGGCCAAAACCTAATAAGTTTTATTTTCTCAACAAACTTATTTTCAATTATAGAAAATTATATAAAGAAGAATATAAAAATAAACTTGGAGGCCAAAACCTAATAACTTTTATTTTCTCAACAAACTTATTTTCAATTATAGAAAATTATATAAAGAAGAATATAAAAATAAACTTGGAGGCCAAAACCTAATAACTTTTATTTTCTCAACAAACTTATTTTCAATTATAGAAAATTATATAAAGAAGAATATAAAAATAAACTTGGAGGCTAAAACCTAATAACATTTATTTTCTTAACAAACTTATTTTCAATTATAGAAAATTATATAAAGAAGAATATAAAAATAAACTTGGAGGCTAAAACCTAATAACATTTATTTTCTTAACAAACTTATTTTCAATTATAGAAAATTATATAAAGAAGAATATAAAAATAAACTTGGAGGCTAAAACCTAATAACATTTATTTTCTTAACAAACTTATTTTCAATTATAGAAAATTATATAAAGAAGAATATAAAAATAAACTTGGAGGCCAAAACCTAATAAGTTTTATTTTCTCAACAAACTTATTTTCAATTATAGAAAATTATATAAAGAAGAATATAAAAATAAACTTGGAGGCTAAAACCTAATAACATTTATTTTCTTAACAAACTTATTTTCAATTATAGAAAATTATATAAAGAAGAATATAAAAATAAACTTGGAGGCTAAAACCTAATAACATTTATTTTCTTAACAAACTTATTTTCAATTATAGAAAATTATATAAAGAAGAATATAAAAATAAACTTGGAGGCTAAAACCTAATAACATTTATTTTCTTAACAAACTTATTTTCAATTATAGAAAATTATATAAAGAAGAATATAAAAATAAACTTGGAGGCCAAAACCTAATAACTTTTATTTTCTTAACAAACTTATTTTCAATTATAGAAAATTATATAAAGAAGAATATAAAAATAAACTTGGAGGCCAAAACCTAATAACATTTATTTTCTTAACAAACTTATTTTCAATTATAGAAAATTATATAAAGAAGAATATAAAAATAAACTTGGAGGCCAAAACCTAATAACTTTTATTTTCTCAACAAACTTATTTTCAATTATAGAAAATTATATAAAGAAGAATATAAAAATAAACTTGGAGGCCAAAACCTAATAACTTTTATTTTCTCAACAAACTTATTTTCAATTATAGAAAATTATATAAAGAAGAATATAAAAATAAACTTGGAGGCCAAAACCTAATAACTTTTATTTTCTCAACAAACTTATTTTCAATTATAGAAAATTATATAAAGAAGAATATAAAAATAAACTTGGAGGCCAAAACCTAATAACATTTATTTTCTTAACAAACTTATTTTCAATTATAGAAAATTATATAAAGAAGAATATAAAAATAAACTTGGAGGCCAAAACCTAATAACATTTATTTTCTTAACAAACTTATTTTCAATTATAGAAAATTATATAAAGAAGAATAGAAAAATAAACTTGGAGGCCAAAACCTAATAACATTTATTTTCTTAACAAACTTATTTTCAATTATAGAAAAGAATATAAA